TTCTAGAAAGTTCCGCTTTACGGTTTGAAGGTGTATCAAAACAGGACAGGCTTACAAGCAGCATTGCACCTGGGAGCTAGTTTTATTCGTTCGTAATTCTATATTCACCGGATTCTTCATACTCCTTTGTTCCCAAGGAGCAGCCGAGTAGCAATTAAGTAGCACAGTCCAGTACTGAACAGATATGCTGTGAGTGTGCTGTGAAACTCAACTACAATACCAATCCGAAAGGGAAGGTGAGCAGTAACCATGAAGTGAAACATTTCCGTTTCGTCTTCCTACATACCTCACTGAAGAGCCTCTGGGTTGACGTGAGACAATGGTGATCAGTCCGGGGTAAGAAGCTAAACGGACCATCTCTTTTTGAAGTGTTTTCTTTTTCCAATACTTTTTCTTTGTTTCTAATTATCTCCTAAATGCATAGTCAAAAAAGTGACAGATTCCCGAGAGCACTGCACATGGAAAGCTGGTTTTATTGTTTTGCAATTTTACATTTATCAGTTGTTCCTATTAAAGCGGCCGTCCAGTACTACTGAAGTAGTCCTCGGAACCATATGAAAAACGGTCCTGTACTGAACAGAGCAGTTTTAGTAAGCTGTGAACAAGTCAACTGTGCAGTATTTTTGATTATTGACCAGGAATGGCTGCAGGAGTACATTCGATGTAAGGGCGCTTGGCCTAATCTAGTCAATTCATCATCCTCCAGTTGGCAAGTGAAAAGTCACACCAGCGTGATACAACTGCCAGGGCAAGGGCAATGGCCTAATAAGAAAAGCACTAGAGATCCACGAAATGCTCCGCAGCATTGGAACTTGTGATGTGCCCTTTACGTTATCGAGTTATTTAACTTTCTTGTAAATTTGGTTTTAAAATGACAATAAGAATCAGGAGAACGTTCGAAAAAATGAGGGAAACACAGTGGTGCAGCAATAACATTAGGCATTGGATAAATAATCAGCAATTTATATCCTCGCGCCACTACCATATAAATTGCCTACTTTACCCTTGGGTTGGGAGCATCATTGCATAATGGGATGGAAAGTACGGATCGATTAAACATGAGTTCCTCTTATGAAATACTTAGCGAACATCAACGTTCATTCAGGACCGTTGCGCGTAGTCATCTTGGTTTCTTCATTTTGTTCTCCATTTAACAGTAAAACTGGCGCTGTTCGGCTTGGGAGGGTCATTTTGCACTTGCGCTAATTCCTTCTGCTAGCTTTATTTCAAATAAAACCTCTCATTTTGATAATAGCTGTGATCCTTCAGAACCAGCGAAAGGTTACAGGTGAGCCGCTTCGGTGATAAAGATTTTTAGGACTTTTCCTTCCCACTTTCCTCCACGTATGTTCTTCGGTGGATACAATTCGGTGCCCCCCCCTCAGGACGAACTACCCTCTGAAAATTTCCCCGATGAGTGTGTTACGCAGGCTTATTTTTAATGATCGGTACTTTCTGGTAAAATCAATTTTACGCTTGGATTCGAAATGAAAACTGATTAATTATTCATACTGTAATAATGATAAACCTGTGTGGCATACGTTCTAACTATGTTAGTAATGACTAGAACTTTGGGTCGCTGAAAATGTAGTTGCTCATAAAGTATATGAATATTTAATTACAACATTTTACGACTTGTTGACTGAATTGGAACGGTATAACGTACTAAGGGTATAACGGGTGACAGTGGCAGTTCAGGGATGAAGGGTAGAGCGATTAGCGATGAACAGTCCTTGTTCGATATGCGCCATGCCTTCGACTTCCTTTGAATATGTGGTATCATTTTGAATGGCCTGCTACAATAACATGTGGGAGCAGTTGTCATTTACAGACTTGCTACGGTATAACGGGTTTGTTTGTTACGGTATAGTAAGGGTCAGTGTTTTCATCCTCCCGTACAACTGATATCAATCCACCGATCCTGGAAGATGGAAGGCTTGGTTAGCCCAGACAGAAGTCGATCCAAGATGTAAATCCAGAGTAGCAAGCGTGTTAAGTGACGATTCGATTCGCTACTGGAAAATCTCTAAAAGTTTCTCATTCTAGTATGGGATCCTGCTGCAGCTCCAAAAATGGAGAGCATGATGGTCTGGCTCGTTGCCTGTCAACGGTATTACCCCAGTTTCTGTGAAATTTCACCTGCTTCTTACTCGTTACAAACAGTGTCCGCGACCAAGCGAGTAAGCTGCACTAAAGGCTGATTACCCAAGGTCAAAGGTTTGACCTCCCCCGCTTTTGTGTTTGAAAATGTCCCCTAGATTTTTGAATTGGTCTACCCTGTTCCGTAACCGCCTCTTTTGACACCGGCTTTTTCGCTACGGTTACGTGATTTCTTTTTAGACAAAGTCGCAGGAAAACCCAAAGCGGCAAAGTGTCTGGGATGGAACACCTACATAACCCAATAAGTTGGTAAAAATTGACCCAAGACTCCACCTGTGATGAGAATGAACTAGCTCTACATCACAACTGACGTCTTTAGGCTACCATCGACCTTCTTGAAACTGAACGATTACCTGGTAACTATGATAAGAAATATTCATCAATAATATCTTTGATATAAGCATCAGTGGCTTGGACCCAACGAACCAGCGAGCAGCTAACTTCAGTCAAAAGGTTATCTGGCAACTGTTGGTGGAAGGTGACAGGTGGAGTGCTGTTTCGAAATGGAATCTGTACGTGGGTCTGACAATGAGCTAGAGTTGCAGACACTGCCAAAGTACTAGGGGAGCCGTCAGTCGGCTGATTAAAAAAAGAAGACTCTACTTCCTTTATGGCAGTGCTGTACATGAGCTCAGGACAAGCCGTTGGTCGGAAGTTTTCCGCCATTTCTTTCAACTTCGCGTCAAGGGTTCACCTGCTCATCTATGGCTCCAGTTATCACGTTTCCCGCTCGTGGCCTCCCAAATAGATTTATCAGTGCTGAAAATTTCTTCTACGCCCTCTTATCTGGAATAGGTGGTTTCTGCTACAGTTGAGGCTTCTCACTAGTCTTCACCTCTCCGCCACTCAATGGAGCATGCTATCCTATGTGCTTGGAGATTCTCGAAGTAACCGAATATATACTTCATTTTGAGGAGATATGAGACATAATAACCTGTAATATCAATATAATATTATGGAATTAATATGAATAGAAACATATGTTCTACACTACAGCTCTCGCACCCGAGTAAGGAAGATGACTTGTAAGGAAAATAAGTAGTTTAGAAGATTTCCTCATACACTTTACCGTAGCACATTTGTCCAGCATTTGTTCTAACCACTCAACATATCCCATTCTTTTTGCACTCAAATGGTCAAAGGCCTTTATATGAACGGTAGATGAAGACCCAACGAAGATCCATCAATTTAAGTGGTATATTGATGAATATGGCGGAGATGTTGTAGTGAAAAGTGGGGCGCTTACCACTCTCGTGGTCCTGGGTTCAAACTCCGGGTCGACTCGCCCAGGCTAACCAAACCCATCTACCCTTCCTGGATGGTAATTATGCAACACATTCGGGTATGGAGATGACCACTGACTTAAACCATCGGCTGGCCCTAGCGAGTCATTGGCAGATCATCCGTGGCCGCACCACAAAAGGGATTGATACAACAGCGTAGACGTAAAAAAAAGTTATTCAAGAATTTGAACGAGACTGTATCTTGCAAGCAAGCAATGCCGAGTTCCCTATGTGATTGCCATCGCTCTAGACCATCTTCTCCACAATGCCCTGTAATGTTCTTATTTATTTATTTAGTTATCGGTTTACTAAATTTCCTCTGTGAGCATATTAGATCAGTGAATCCAACAGTGACGAATTAAGTAGCAGTATTTTTATCAAGCTTTGGTAATTGCACTTTTTTTGATATGCTCCTATTTTTTCTACTATGAGTTCTTTTGCTTCACTGATACTTTATTAAATGTATCAAGTTGCATTGTATGATGAGAGCAGAGTTTCATTTCAGATGCAGGGCATACCGGTGTGAACCAGTTAGGTGGTGTATTCGTCAATGGACGGCCCCTACCGGATACAACTCGGCAAAAAATCCGCTCGAACTAGCTCACGGAGGAGCTCGACCATGTGATATTAGTAGGATTCTTCAAGTTTCTAACGGGTTAGTAATCGTTTTCTTTTCAAGGTATACTGTAATGACAGGTTTTATGGAATGGACCAGTTACTGTGTAGAAGAAGTAGTTCGCTTCCTTTTACCAGTTTCTTTAGAAGTGAATGAAAGGACAAGAATGACCCGAGCGCCAACGCATTTGTTGCTTCCATCCCTCAAAATTGGCATAACTTGAAGGTATTGAGACAAAGCACTCATAAGGGGAAGGGACAGTGTAGGGACAAGTAGCTTCGTGAAACGGAAAACTAAAAAAAACCTCACCGCTTCTCCTCTGAGGTACTAAAATCCGAGGTTCCCACAGGCTTACCTATTAGGCTACTGTTCTTCACGGGAGCGCTTTATGCATAGGTAATCTAATCCTAGCTCAAACCACATAATAGCTTTATTATCATCCCCTTGTTAGAGTTGTCCTGCTAGGGGTGGGGTCTTTTTTGGATTGATGATCACCGCTTTGCACGATTTTGGTGCTTGCCCTCTGAGGTGGATGGTTTTCATGTCCGCTTTAGCTGTGTCCTGCCGGCGTTGTTTAGACCTTCCCCTGGGTGCATTGCCGTCCACTTCAGTATGATATGCAGTGGTAGTAACGGTGTAAAGCGCAGCGCGTAAGGCATGGTATAACTTCATTTGTCCAAATTGTTAAGTTTCCCATCCCACTGACCTCAAAGGGAGACCTGATTGTCGTGGAAGATGCCCGATCGGGTTTAAAAGAAGAGCCAAGCTGTGATGCTGCACTGGTTTTGCACTAGTTCTTGTCGGACTAGATTGTGTCTGTCGTTGCTTGACCTTTCAGAACAAGCTTAACAAGATAGCTACCATTTTGTCAATGCTGGGCGAGAGTTTCTGTGTATCATGACGGTAATAAGACCCCAAATTTGTAGAATGACAGTGTGAACAGTAAAGCAAAAAGACCTTTTCGGTATGTTAGTAAATACTTATTGCAGTAGTCTCAGTGCCATTGGTTGTCGTTAAAATTGTAGACTAATTTCACGGTTTCTTAGCCGCTGATAAATAAGGTAATACAAATTTCACAATCATTCCTGATGACCTGAAACTAGGGAGAGTTTCAGCTAGAACCCTTGAAAACCACCAAGGTACATTTCTAAGCATATTTTACGCAACAGAGTGGAACCGAGCAAATGTTTTTTCGATAGAGAGCTCAAAATTCTGCGAATTTCCCCAAAAGGTTGAGTTCTTGCGCAGTAAATTTGTCAGCCTTGTTTCTGGTCTTTTTCGACAGTGTTGTGCGGGAGATTCACATTGAAACGCCCTGAAAATATGGAGATATTTTGGCTTGTTCTAGCATTGGGCTTGTGCAACATTTCCACAACACTTCGGCTTGTTCTTGGTGCAAGTGTCGCGCATATGACACCCTCTTGCAGCACAATTTCGCCCATCACACCACTCCCATTTTTGAGTTTTTCGAGTGCCACAAAAGAATGCATAGTTGTTTCTGAGTTGGATGATACTGAGATATTTATAACAGAGATGTTTCTGGTAGGGGATGTCCTAAGCT